AGAAATAAGGAAAGCTGAGCAACTCTTTAGAATAGATCGAGACAGAGACATTTTAATCGCCAACGTCAAGGGAACTTAATAGGGCACGTTAAGAAGAAGAAACAAGAGATGCCCTTCTCGTACCTCTGTGCGTTCTCTTTCGTAAACAACAGACCTGCATTTGGCCTATCTTAGTGATCACAACCAGTTCACAGAAACAGTACCGTGATACATGTGATAAAACTCGATAATCTGCTACACACACACACTCGTACGAGAATCCACGCGTGTAAATCCTACTTACATGACGACTACCAGTCCGCGAGTGTATAGAACAGCAGTATTGGTAAGCAATGTATAAATTTGAATATATATTGCTGTATAACATTTAATTACTCCCTCCTAACTATTTTGAATCAGCCTTATTTATACAGCCTTAAAACTCTAAAAACTAAACTAAACTAAACTAAAAAATTATTTTAATAATTTCGTATATGTATATGCCTTAATTGTACATATATATTGTTAATTATTCGTAGATCTTTGCTGTATAGTCTAACTGATTCATGTATGTTAAGTAGCTCATCGGGCTTAAATGTGTCGAACGCCTTTTGATAATCAATACATCACACGTACATATCGCAATTGACGTCTCTCCATCTTTGAAAGAGAAATGGGACTGCTAATGGAATTGTATGTTTGTCGTATTATCCTTGCATTTTGTATATATTCTTCTGTGTATTATTTTCAGGAACATTTTCAAATGATGGTTTATAAAGTTCGATAGATCTACTAACAACAGTGTTTTCATTGTTAAACAAATTATTGAAAAATGAAGAACAAGAATTTTACCTAGGAACTTGTTTTACCTTGTATTACTGGAGTCTGTTACTAAAAAGGTCTACTGGAGCGATGTAACGTACAATAATTAGTACTCTAAAGTAAAATTTTAACGTTTTAATATTACTTTATATTAAAATTTTAACGTTAAATTTTTAATCTGTGTGGTAAATTTTTACGCTATTTTATGTTAAAAAAAACATTGAAATCTTATGAGCATTTTTGTGTTTTTGGTTAGTTATAAACAAAAGCAATGTATTCTACCGAGCTCTTCATGGTTTAAAGGAAACATGAATTATAAAAGAACTATTTTCACATACTCTATTATAAATTAAAATAGCTAACAAACATCCTTATTAAATTTTTATATGTTAATTACCAGCTGAATTACATAAAATCACTGGCGCCTCCCTAGCCCGAAATATGATAAACACCGAGATATATAGGTCCTGTAGTAAACTGCATTAAGTAAGTCCACAAATCAGGAGAGATCTAAATAAGCACCTAAAAATCTTACTTTAACATAAGATAGATTAATGTGGTAGATCAATTTTTCAATGTGGTACTTACTCCGAATCAGAGAGTAAAATTTTAACAGGCAAAGTAAGAATTTAACGTTAAAATTTTACTCTTGAGTAAAATTATATAGTTAAAAGTTACCCTGGAATAAAAAATATGCTTTATAGTTTTACTCTAGAGTAAAAATGTAAGCGAATTAAAATTTAACGTTACACCGGATCGATCACAAAATATTTTTTATATTCTGAATAGCAGGATTACTCAATGTTAAAAAGAAGAAAGTGTCATATCTGAGCCATATGTTCCGTAATGATAAGTACGATCTGCTACAGCTTATAGTGAAAGGCAAGATAAAAGGTAGAAGAAGTTTAAGGAGAAAGAAAATATCCTGGCTGAGAAACTTAAGAGAATGCTAATGTATCTTAAGTAATTTTTTCTTGTTATAGAATTTTAGGCTACTGATTTCAAGGCTTACAAGATAGTCGGTAAAATCAAGCTAAAGGTACTAACGGTTCAAGTCATTACAAACCGGGTTTGCAACTATACATTAGTATTACGAACTCACATTGGCAACATTTTTATCACTTTAAGGGAATTGTTGCAAATACCATAGGCTGCAAACATACTACATATGGCACAAAACAGAGAAACCTATCATTTAATGGCCTCCAACCTTCAGTTGAAGACGGCACATAAAGAAGAAGAAAAAACAGATAGGATACTTCTATCAGGGCAATCAAAAGTATGCACAGAGATATAAATATCATGACAGCATTATGAGAAAGATTTTGCCGAATATCATGCAGGAAAATATTGAAGGAAGAAGACGAATTTCATGACTGCGCAATCTCAGAGAGTAGTAGTTTAACTGCTCGTCTAATCAAATTTTCAGAGCAACGGTGAACATAATTGTTCAAATAATCAGGATATCGCATGTCTTCAAAAGAAAACAGGACTTACACAAGATCCGATTCAAGATTCGTCAAGATTGACGATTATTCTCTACACAATAGAGACAGTGGTCACAAAATTGACAACTTTCAGTTAATATATGGAACGAATTACAATACGTTGAAGAATAAAGCAATGATAGATAAAGTGATAAAACTTTATAAAAGAATAACCACACCCACTCTGTTATATGGATGTAAAATTTGGTAATGACATAAATAGATAACTCTAGTATTAAAGCTTCAAAAATTTTCCAGATGGTTGTAAGATATTGCAAGACTTGATATACACAAAATGAAGATGTAAAATAAGAAGGGAATATTTATTCGATCAATGAAAATTAGAGAATATAAAATAAAACAAAACTATAAATAAACCAAATGTATGCAAATCGACTAGACAAATACTAACTTTCAAATCGAAAGGTAGAGAAAGTGGAAGACCCTCCATCAAATATGAGCCGAAATTTGTTGACAAAACATAAGAAGATCTTTTGAAATATTACAAATCTAATCCTTACTTTATATCAAATTGCAGCAAAAGTTTACATTTTCTTGTTGTTTTCAAAACTTAAAAATAATTTCCAATTTTTTGCTTCTAATGATAACGACGTCTTGTTTTTGTCATTTTTTACAAAATAATTTATAACAAAGTTCAAAATCAATGTCAGTATAGAACATAAACTATAATTTTTATTAGCTTATACCTAGGCAAAGATACCTGATATTTAAAAATTTTACATTTACTATTTTCTCTTCGATACTTAATTTCAAATGAATTGCTTTCCTGTTTCTTAGAACATGGCCCAAATATTAACTTTTTCTCTTTTGGTGTTATAAATCAACAGTATTTATTTAGTTAGCTTCTAAAGAACCTCCTTATTGCCTTTATGATCCTTCGAGAGCATTTTAAGAGTCTTCTATAAATCTACATCTCAAAGACATATTAAGCGTCTCAAAGTATTTACTTTAGGTGTCCAAGTTGTACAGCGATATAAGAAAACTGAATAAACATAACAGAAAATGAAAAAAGAAACAAAAATTAATGTTAAATAACCAGTTACATAATAGATTTTTCATTGTATGTATTGATGGTTTTGCCGGTTCTATTGGAGATCTAACATCTAAATTGGGATCTAAGTCCGATGTTAGCCAGAATCCAAAATATTTAAACGTTCTACACAATTTCCACCTGTTTCCCGTATATATTTATATCTGGTTATTATTTTTTTACTAATAATTATTATCTTCATTTGAATAGTATTTATTTGGAGGGCCCAATGGATATCCTTAAATCTCCTAAATTACCTAGTTTAAAAGTTACTACATTGCTTCCGTGTTATTAGCAATTATCGCAGTGTCACTTACGTAAAACGCCGATCAGATGTTTACCTTTTTATGTATCTTAGGGCAAAAAAAAATCATTATGAAATGCAGCACACCCAAGAGAGCGGAAATAATACAAATGAAAATCAGAGTCAAAAGACTTCAGTCTTTTACGGAATCAACGAAATACTTATCGAAAAAAATATTGTCATAGAAGATTGCAGAAAAATATAGAGGCAGTATCTTGGTCCTGTTTACAAAATCAAAAGAGACGTTTAACAATTCATTAACTACATACATACCATAATATCACAGTTACACCATGTAAACACGAGAAAGAGAAAATGAGAGAGAGAGAGAGAGAGAGAGAGAGAGAGAGAGGGAGAGAGAGAGAGAGAGGGAGTAATTGATATACGGATTCGGGAAGAAACCAAATTATCCGATATTTTCTAGATGCAATTTTCATTATAAGGTAGCTAATGTTAAAATATAGAAATAAACAAATAAATACCTGTATATTTATTGATCTTGAGAAAGCGTATATTAGAGTTCCTCGATAAGTTCTATGGTGGGCGCTACATAAGAAAGATGAGTACCTAGTGTGTATGCGTAGAATGTGAGAGATATGTATGAGAGAATAATAACTAATCTTGGAACAGTAGAATGTATAAACAGTGAAGTGGAATGTAGCATGTTAGAGATATGTATGAGGGAGTAATAATTAATGTTTCAACAGTTGAGTGGAAAAAAAACAATATAATCCTTCATAACTGGTACAGAAAAAGAGTAAAATTAGCCTTGATGATCGTACATATCCTTAAAGAATGAGGCACACTAAGAAGAAAAGGCAAAAGATTGTAGTTTCATTATTTGTTATTGCAGCAACTGCTCTTGAAAATTAAAGCCTTAAATGGTTTTTATTTGGATTTTTTTTCGTTGATGTTTTTTTGCTTAATCAATATTTCAAATCGAATACATACCGCTACAGATCATGAGGGGAAAATTATCTAAATACGTGTATATTTTTGTTTATTAGGAAATTTTTAGAACAATAATTGTGCTCCAGTGCGGCATACCTAAGTCGCAGACAAAATGTTGTGGAGAAATTTTGTCGCTAAGCCTGATAGCTCTCCACTGATTAAAGTTTTGAGTTAGTTGAAGTTAAAGTATTACTTTCTTAAAGAGGATATTTATGTGCATTTTTGATCCAGAATTTTTAATTTTTGTGGTATATGATAATTATTAGTTCATTCTAGCGGAAAGAAAGAATGTATTTTATATTTTTCTTTAATATATTATGACGTATTATTTTTGATGACAGGGTTTATAGTTATTTTTAATTTTTTTTTATTTTTAAGTTATTAAAAAACGTATTATAATTTTTAGTGTAATCGTTTCTGGAGAACAAGCAAGAGCTAGACTAAGGAGTTTAAATCCCGCAGGAAGCGATGTGGATTTGTTTGGGTAAGTAACGAGATAACTTTAACGTTTTCAATATTTTATAACCTAATTTAAAGTTACTGTTTTAGTTGTTATTTTAATTTGGCTTCAAATAATAAAACTATTTTTAAAAGAGTATCTGCTTTAATTATTTAGCCAAACATTTTTTTTTGGTTCCTTTTTGATGAAATTTTTTAAATATTAATGTAAAAAAAGTGGGCAAGTGTACATTAAAAATCTCATACGCAGTTTGATTTATTGTTCATTTTCATTGGTAGCGCGATCAATGAAATGATTCAATATAAATTAATATTTAATTGATGAAAAAACAACAACAAATACCATATTTAGATTTAAAAATAAGAGATTATCAGGTACATATTACTTTTTGAAAAAAAAATTATTTTTGAATTATGTTAGTAAATTGCTTATTGATTCGTTTAAAATAATGTGTCATCATTTTATTGGACCAATATTCAACTAGTGCGCTAATGGGGCAGCCCAAAGTAGATTAATTTGTGTAATATTTTGTGGAAAACAAAGAAATCCTATTAGATTACATTAATTTGTAGGTATTACCATATATTGTTGCCAAGCTGGTAAACGGCTTCAGATACCATCGCAGTAACATGTGATTTCACGAGCAGCCGATACCTTCCGTTATATATAGCGTATTAAACAAAGTCATCAGTTTCTTTACCAATGTTGGAATTACATTCTAACCGCCCTTTTTACTTCTAAACTTAAGATTTATATTCTACACTCGCAAAACATTGGATTCGATGGTATCAGACAGCAGAATTTGTGTTACTCGTATGTTGTAAATACTGAAAAATTTAATTTCTCCAGCACAAATTGAAGAATATAAGGTATAATAATATATCCTTGTGTCTTTTCTACCAATATATATATATATATATATATATATATATATATATATATATATATATATATATATATATATATTATAAGGATCACTCAGACGAGTGGTGGGTTCCTATATCGGTCTCAAGATGGAGAAATAAAAGACAAAGTTGATAGGCTACTTTATCTATTTTGAAGACGTTTCGCTTTAGTATTCTGAAAGCATCATTAGTTCATCTAAAACGTACAATATGAGAACCACACAATCATGGAGAAGATGTTATAAGTGTTACCTTAAAAAGACATGTAGCAGTCAATGATATTATCAAATATGTGAGTAAACTCTTTGTTTACTGTTAGCCAGTTGGGTGTTGAAACACCCAACGGGCTAACATTAGCGTCCATCTCTAACAGAATACAAATGAATGAGTCCCCTCTCACTCCTGAACAAACCATAAAATATGCTTCGCTCCCGTACTTCCCACAAATCACGAACAAGCTAATCAAACTTTTCCAAAACTTACCTGTCAAAATAGCTTTAAAAAACACCAGAACCGTAGAAAAGTTATTTTCTAAGACAAAAACTCCATTGGCCCCTCTAGAACAAACTAACGTCGTCTATAATGTACCCTGTGCGGAGTGCAACTCCTGCTACATTGGCCAGACAAGCCGTTCTTTTCAAGGTCGACTAACGTCCCATAAAAGCGACATTAGGATTTCAAAACCATCCTGTGCCCTTGCACAACATGCCATTTCAACCAAACACAGTATCGACTTCACTAATACCAAAATACTGTGGAAACAAAAAAATTATCATAAGCGTTCTATCCTTGAAATGTGTCAAATTCTTAAACATCCATCATCCCTAAATAAAAGAACCGACATTGACAACTTGAGCCAGATATATCACTCTCTCATCATACACAACAAATAATAATTAAAAAATAAACACTTACAAGATAGTAACTTCATTCCCCTTCTTCTTTCCCTATTTTCAAAATATTTTTTTTTTTGTAGAAAAAAATATTCCTTTTTGAAAAATAGGGCTGTCCCCGTTCTGCTTACTAACTTTTTTAATAATTGTACCTCACTGCTTTCCGAAGAAACGTTATGGACGACACATGCCACATGTGCAAATATGACAGCCTAAAACCGATAGAAAACATTCCAAGAGATTATTGTGTTGGGTCGTCGAAAGAGCTTACACCCACATTGAGATGAAGCCATCGATAAAAATTAAATAAACAATAGTGCTGTTTCAGTTTTTTCCTGTGTGTTTTTTGTTTCGATTCTATCGTTTAGTTTTTAAATTTTTTAATGTTAAGTTATCGTAGAGTGTTTTTAACATCTTTTACAAAACCTACAAATTGTTTTTGTAAGTATGAACCCTTTTGGTTATTTACTTATATTTTACATCGTTTTATTTTTAATTGTAGTGAACTGATGATGCTTTTGAAAACTAAAAAGCGAAACGTATTCGATTAAATCAATGAAGTAGTTGACGACTTTCATTTGCCTATTATTGACCGATACAACCTCTGATATTCAACTATTGAATATTTTTTGAATATATATATATATATATATATATATATATATATATATATATATATATATATATATGAATTAAGGATCACTTGAAGAGTGGTGGGTTTTTCTGTCAAAGGGTGAAGAGAAAAAATACAACGAAGATGGCTACTTTATCTATTTATTAAAGACGTTTCGCTTTCGAATCAGAAAGCATCATAAGTTCATCTGAAAAGTATTTCATGAAAAACCAAACATCCATAGAAAAGTAATTATAAGTGTGTTACCTCAAAAAGACATGTACCGGTCAATGATATTAAATATGTAAAGAAGATATTAAATATGTATTTAATATCATTGACTGCTACATGTCTTTTTGAGGTAACACACTTATAATTACTTTTCTATATATTGTTCTTTTTAGATGAACTGATAATGCTTTCTGATTAGAAAGCGAAACGTCTTCAATTAATAGATAAAGTAGTCACCTACTTTGTCTTTTTTTTCTGCACCTTTTGACCTACGACTCTACGAGTGATCCTTATATATATATATATATATATATATATATATATATATATATATAAACTTCATCAACACAGCTAAGAAATGAAATATGTTCTTAAGTGCAGGTAGGTCATATGTGTATGACCTTTTATTGCCTTTATATTCCAATCTGATAGTTTACCGGAATTCACCGAAAATTTCACATTTTTCACAGCAACAGAACATGTGGTCTAAAGTATATGTAATATTTTATTTTAATATTAAGCAGTGAAAAAAGAACTAAGAATATCAAAGATTCACTTCCAACTATTTGATCATTATTTAAGCTTTGATTTTGACTTTAGGTAGCATTATTAAAGCGATTTAAATAACAATTTAAAAAATGTAGTGTAAATGAAGTAACCGCTCAAAGCCTCACAGCTGCCGCCGGGAAAATGGCGTTAATTGAAACAAACCGAGATAAACCGTGAAAAGACAGCCAACCTTGAGGTCAAAAATTTGACAGAATAGCAAGGTTGAAGTACCACCCCAAATAATTGGGCGGTGTATTTAAAAAGTTCAAATGAGTTTGGATGACAACTTGCTTGTAAGAGACCAACCAATGAAAAAAATTGGTATTATAACAGCAATGCCTCGCATTAACCAGTCTAGAACGAACAAACAGGCGAAATTCATTCAACCTCATATATAAATAATAAACGTCAAACATTATGGCTAGATAATCCGCCACAGGTGATCAACAAAAAATAATTTTCACATTCCAAGGTTCATCCACTTGGAACTGTAATTTGTAAAAGATTCTATGAATAAATTACATTATTTGTATTATAATATTTAAGCAATATTAAGCAAAATTACAAATCAAACTAAACAGAGTAAACAGGGTAAACAAAGAGTTTACTCACATATTTGATAATATCATTGACTGCTACATGTCTTTTTAAGGTAACACTTATAACATCTTCTCCATGATTGTGTGGTTCTCATATTGTACGTTTTAGATGAACTAATGATGCTTTCAGAATACTAAAGCGAAACGTCTTCAAAATAGATAAAGTAGCCTATCAACTTTGTCTTTTATTTCTCCATCTTGAGACCGATATAGGAACCCACCACTCGTCTGAGTGATCCTTATAATATATATATATATATATATATATATATATATATATATATATATATATATATATATATAATTATTATAAGATTATGTAAGTAATATAATCTTTTTTTGTCTTCTGGAAGCTAACATTAAATGTATATGGAATTTCTTCTACTTTCCAATTTATTTCTCTTTTCTTATAGTAAGGGGAAAGGTAACCTCTTATTTAATACCATTTTCTTAGTTAAGCAACATTCCCTGAACACATTTATTTTTTAAATGGAGCCAACAGTGGCCGATTATTTTATTTACTCTTCAATTTGATGACTCTGCTAGTTACACCATCTGTTATAGCGCCGATGGCCTAATTTATTAGTGTCGAATATCCAACTTTAACCTTAAATTTAATTAAATATGCTTTCTGTTTATTTCTACCTAATGTTAATTTATTGCAACATAATGCAACTATATCCTGAAATATATGTTTTCCTAATTGTAACTATATTATATATATATATATATATATATATATATATATATATATATATATACATTAAATAAATACAATATAAGTTACAGTAAAAAAATACATTCAAAATTTTATTTTAAATTTATCATCATCATCATCTTTGGCTCGACAATCGTCTGTGGATCTTGGCCTGCTCTAAGATTCGTCGCCATTCTGTTCGGTTTTTGGCACTTGTTGCCATCTTCTGATTTTTAATATTCGTAAGTCGGTTTCTACTCCATCTAACCACCTAATTCGCGGTCGGCCTTTGCTTCTTTTTCCTACAGGTGTTCCTGTAGCTTTTTAGCAATGGTATTTTATGGCATTCGTATTATGTGTCCAGCCCATCTAAGTCGCTGTGTTTTAATGAACGTTATGACATCTGGCTCTTCAAAGAGCTGATACAATTTAAAATTATATCTTCTGCGCCACTGCCCTTGGTCGTTTACAGCTCCAAATATTTTGCGGAGTATTTTATGCTCAAATATTCCCAAAATTCTTTCATCTTTTTGCGTT